CACCATCAACCACTTTTCCTGGGCACTTTGCATCCTTTCACACATGCTCCTAAAATTCTCTTTCAGGCATTTGTTTTAGTCCCAAACCAGACAGATCTCAGCTGAGACACAGAAATGCACCACTGCCCAAGCAGGCGATGGGCTGCCTCAGCAGATCCATGCATAGAATAGTGGCTTGTCTTGGAAGCTTCAGGCAGAGATATAAAACTGTGGGACAGACAGTTTTGCATGAGCATGCACCCAGGGGAAATCTCTTCCTAACTGCAGGCAGTTAGTAGCTGGCTTGGAGTGCTGATATCCGTGTATGTATTAATCCCAGGTAATGTAACTACAGATGTTCTCATTCATGAGCCCATCTAATCCTGTTGGGCCTCTGCCATGGTGTCTCGTAGCATGAGTTCTACGAGTTAATTACATGCAGTGCAAAGAAGCATTTCCTTTTATCATTGAAAAAAGGTTGCCTTTTAAACGCCTTGAATGTTCCTTTGTCCCTGTGTTTTAAGGACCAGTGAAGAGGAGCACCTGCCTGACCTTCTTGGTGCTGTGCAGTACTTGGCACCTCTCCATCGTCTCCTGGCAAGTCGGTTCTAATCTTTCCTGTCGCCCTCAGATGGGTGCCTCTCCATGCCTTTCACTCCAGTTCCCCAGCTGAGGATGTGCTCTTGATTTCTATGGTGTCACGAGATGATATTCAGTGTTGCTCTCTACCCCTTTGATCACACAAACACAAATCTTGTGGCTCTTCTGAGCTCCCTTGCAATCAGCCAGATGTTTCATTGACTCCTAGAGCTTTTTCTGGAGTGGCTGCAATTAACTGGGACCCTTCAGCTTGTATGAGCCACCCTGTTCCTTCCTTCCCATTATCCATCCTTCCATGCACTGGGTTTTGTCTTGGCCCTGAACCCATATGGCCAGTATGGGCAGGTGTCACAGAAGACCTGCCTGGTCTCCTTACGTCTGAATTGGTCAAGCTGAAGGTGCTCACCTAGAAATACTGTGAGCCCCCTGCTTGTCAGGTCATGGCAATTATACAAGAAAAATCAGCTTTTGTGGACAGAGGCACCCCCACTGCTACTCTCATTCCCCATTAAAACCTCACATCTACTTATACTTCTTGTTTTCTCCTCCACAGACAGGTTTTTAAGCAGGAAATAACTAATAATTCCTGGTCATGTCTGCCACAGACACTCATCAGAGATTTTCCTGCAAGATTTTTTGAAAGAACTAAATCATGACAGGTATTTTCCTTCCCCCTGATGCTGTGGAACTCACAAACCAGGCCGTTTTCTTGTACCACCATCATCTCTGTTCACTCCTCCCACATCTCACTCCCTGCACCTTTGCATTCTCCTTTGTGGAGTGATTCTTTTGAGCAAGGCATTGAGGATACAGAGGAGAAACTACCATTATCCCTTTTAGTGTCCCTAACAACATCCTGAGCACCTTCTCCTCATGCCTCATGCTTTCTGCTCTGCTGATATTCTGCATGATGGTGAGTGAGGGGCAAACACTTGCACTCAGGGAAGTCCAGGCATGACAAGGTGTTTTGTGAACCAAAAGGTTCCTAGCAGAAAGGCAGCAAGGATTCCAAGGGGGCGTTTGCACCAGTCTCCCCCCATTTGCCAAGCTATTGCAGTTGTTCTTCAATTTGGGGTTACAACATAAGGAATAGGGTTGGGTAGGATGAGGGGTAATGGTTTCAAACAGAAAGAGGACAGATTTAGATGAGATAGGAGAAAGAAATTCCCTCCTGTGAGGGTAGTGAGACCCTGGCCCAGGTTGCTCAGAGAAGCTGTGGCTGCCCCATCCCTGGCAGCGTTGAAGGGCAGGTTGGATGGGGCTTGGAGCAGCCTGGGCTGGTGGGAGGTGTCCCTGCCCATGCAGGGGTGGGACTGGATGGGCTTTAAGGTTTCTTCCAACCTAAAAGACTCAATGATTCTATACATTTGAACTGTACTGGAGGAATCATTATTAACCACCAGCAGCCCAACTACTCCATGGCTGCAGGAGGAGAAGAGCCTGTAATTGCTGGCTACAAGTGTTTGCACTGGCCAGGGAACTGCAAATTGCCTTTAATTGCTCCTAATTGTTGGCACTGGTTCAGTTCCTCCAGGACAGGGACGGCAAGTACATCTGCAGATACTACTCAGACCACCTCCAGTTTCCCTGTGCCAGGAGAGCTCACTTGCTGCTGATCCAGTTTTCTGGAAGACAGGAAAGTCAAAATGGTGTCAGGCATTTGAGGAGCTGGAGTGTCACTGCCCAATGCAGGCATCCTGGGCTCACAGAGTCTTGGGCAGCAATGAAGATTTGGGGACTGGTGGCAGAAGAGTTGGGGACTGGTGGAAGAAGAGTTGGGGAGCTCTCTGCATCTAGGGAGGGTTTCTTCTGGTGACGTCCTGGATGATAAATGGTGATTCCCAGCTCCTCTGCCACTTGTCAGCTTTGTAACCTTGGGCACATCATGCATGCCATGGGGACACTGCTGACATCTGTGCTGCAGAGCACTCACAGAAGCCCAGCCTGGGGGGAGAGCAGACAACCTCAGAGAGATAAGGCTGTAAAAATAACCCCAGCAGCTTTGGACAAGCTGTGCCAAGGCATTACCTCATGAGGGAAGGAAGCAGCAGCATCACTATTTATTTATCTGGTGTCCAAAAGAGCATTCTCTGCTCTGCAGCCCATCCTCTACGAGCCTGATTCTGTAAGTCTTAATCACCACAGAGGCTTTTTTTCCCTTTCTTTCCTCTTCCCCCCTCCCCTTTCCTCATCCAAGAAGTCCCACTGAAACTAGTGCAATGTGTTCACATGGGGAGGATTACTCACGGAATGGGGTTTTGCAGGCAATGCCTGACACCCTCTCGAGCACGAGTCATATTCCTCCCCATCCTCCTGCCCTTTGCCTCTCCTTGTGCAACGCTTCCCTGATTTGCTTATTTTTTTAATTAGCTCCTGTCTCTCTGCTCTTCTTCAACTCTTTTCTGTCCTGTTTCCTCTGCAGGCTCCAGTTTTCATGTATTTTTATTTCCTCTCCCCCCCAGCAATATTGAAGCCACCCCCCGGGTGCAGCCTGCAATTTTTCCCACTTAAACATCAGTCTGTCCTCTGTGCTCCTCACAACTCACACACATTTACCACTAAGACTTTTCTAATCCACGCTGGGTTTGATGGAAAAGTAAGATTTCCTTGTGAGCACTTTTGCAAGTGACTGTTCCCAGAAGCTGCTCGAGGCAAGAGTAGTAATTTTAATCAAAAACCCCAAATCAGAGGTGTTAGAGGAGGAGGAAAAAATAAACCAAATCTTTGTTGGTTTTCTTTTTTCCCCTCTCATGCAAAAAATCCTCAGATTTTGTCAAGGCTAAGTCTCTTCCCATCCAGCACTGGTGGAGCTGGAGGATGGCAACAGTTTGCTGGTGCTCTTGGGTGGGTTGTGTCGGGATAGGGTGCCCCATGTGAGTGAAAAGGGGACATCCCAGTGCAGAGACATCCCAGTGCAAGGGGGCTTCAGGAACCAGCCAAACCCCGCTGGGAAGAGGAGCAGTCTGGGAATTGCTGCCCAGTAAATATAGGTCAAATGGGGTGCTGCTGGTGCAGGGAGCAGGATCAGGATGGTGCTGGGGCAGGTTGGAGAGAAGCTCCAGTCAAACACTGAACTTCGACATCTGACACAAATGAACACAGGATGTGATCTGCTGTCCCAAAATCAGGCAGATTTGGGGTGTCTTACAGCAAGGAATGTGCAAGACAAACCAAGAATCATTGTAGGGTGCAACACAAACCCTCACAGGAGCAATGTGCTCAATTTGGGGGCTTGAGGGTGTTTTAAAAAGCCAAACCCAGTCACTGGAGTCCATGGAGACATCCACCCAGATCCTGATACACAGACCAACCCCACTTTTTGGGTAGTGGGGCAGGTTTTCCCCCAGACCCTGTCTGTGGCAGGCAGCTCACCCGAGGGGCAGAGGAGAGCAGGCTCAGTGCTCCCCAGGGAGGGCTCTGCCTGGCTCCTTCCCGAGGATGCTGCACAAGAGAAGGAAAGATGTTCTGCCTTTCCCTGCCACCACTCAGCAGGCACAGAGTGCAGCCTGGCACGGACCTCACAGCTCTTAGAAATAAGGGCTGTTAACAAGTTTGTGAGGCCATAATCCTTTTGGAGCAGTGATGATAACAAGCTCTGCTGCTTTTTTTTTTTTTTTTCCTCTCTTTTTTTTAGCAAACAGCTGCGCCGGTAAGTCCCACTGTGGGAAATGAGATGGTGAATGATTTCAAGTACAGTATTTACATCCCCTGCCAAACCCTTCACATCTGCCCAGCTCTGTTGTCAGGCTTCCATCCATCTGGCTGGGAACAGCAGGTCCTCCAGCCTGCCTGCATCCCATAAGGGCATTTCCTTCCTGATCCCACCATGCCAGCTGCCTGGGATGCTTCTCAGCAGGGAAGGACTTGAGCGAAAGCACTGAAAAGAGTGTGTGGGGTTTTTTTCTTGTAGTGCACGTGAAATGAATTCCCAACATCTCTGAAAGTGATTGCTTCCTTCCTGCCTGAGAGATCCTGTGCTGAAGAGGTGATGAAATGTTCCTTGGTTTTCTACCTCTTCCTTACAGCCCTGCCACTGCTCCAGGGAGCCCAAAGGAGTTTGAAGCCAGCTGGGGTGTGGGCAGTGGGTGCTGTGATGCTGCCTTGGTTGCTTCCCTCCTCCTCAGGCCCTGAAAACCCTTAGTCATGGCACCCATGGGATCAGGCAGTTACAGTGTCCATGGCTGGGTATCCTTGAGCACACATTGCCCTGGGCAGGTAGTCCTGGCTGCAGCGCCATCTCCAGCTGTGGCTGGCCCAGCCTCTCCCCACTGCAGTCCTCCCTGGTCCCAAGGGACAGCCATGCACCTCCCTTCCCAAATGCCACTTCTATTTCAGGTCAGTCTGGTTGCCGGCTGGACAGGACGTTGACCAGAAGTCCAGCTCTCCTCTACCCCTGACCCTCTTGTGTGTTCCCCCCACAGAGTGTGACTGTCACCCCGTGGGCGCCGCCGGCCAAACCTGCAACCAGACCACGGGCCAATGTCCCTGCAAAGACGGTGTCACCGGCATCACCTGCAACCGCTGCGCCAAAGGCTACCAGCAGAGCCGCTCCCCCATCGCCCCCTGCATAAGTAGGTGGATTGCTCCTTCTGGGGCTGAAATTAGAAATATCAACCTTCAGAAACCCACAGGAGCCCCTGCCCAGGCTGGGCTGACAACAACCCCACCATGTGTGCTAACGGGCCGTGCTGGGGGGTTGGAGCTGTCTGCCTTCTTGGGTGGGTTGTGTGAGTGCATCTACAGTATTTGCCAGTAATTTGATTATTCTTCTCAGAACAAATGTGCCCCCAGAACACATTTGCTTTGGGGCACCCTGTCAGGTCTGGCTGCTAAGGCAGACAGCTACAAATAGGTTTTTCTCTCAAAAATCAGGCTGTGCCACACTGGCTCAGAGCTCAAACCAGAGGAGCTGATGTTTGGATGGAGTTGCCATCACAGTAATGCAGCCAACAGCACCTAGATTGCTGCAGCGGATTTTACCCACCCAGAAACAGGGCTGTTCTACCCTTTGCTTCCTTGGGTTTGCTTTTTAATTTGCTTTTGTAAAGCTGTTCTCACCCTGTGCACTTAAAACAACAGCAGCAAACACCAGGTACAGCTCCCAAAGTCTCTCAGTTGCAGCATCTGCTCTGCAAACATCCCCATCCCTGTGCAGTCCCTGCTGAGGGCTCGATGCCAGGCTCAAATTGGCCCTGGGCTTCTCCCTCCTGCCTCCTGGTTTGGCTGCTGGTGGAGCATTCAGGAGCTAGTGCACCTTGCAAGACACATCTCCACCTCCCTGAACAAAACGAAGCATCAAAATGATAGTGCCCAGGCTGTGTTGGGAAGGAGGGGCTGCTCCCCCAGAGGCTGCTCCCTGCTGCTAGAAGGGGCTAAAGGCCCAATGGAAAAAGCAAAGTGAAGGTTGAAAGAATCAAGTCTCTGTTGGGAATGCCCAGTCTGCTGCTGCACTGACTCCTGGCAGGATCTGCCCCTCAGGATGGCCATGACCAAATTATGAGACAGATCCCCTTTCTCCACCTTCCCCTGCTGAAGAAAACATCCATTCCAGGGTGTTTTTTGATCACTTGAGATTCATTCTTCCCCATGTCGCAATGATTTCCCCCTGCTGCTGCAGTCATGGCTCTGCTATGCTTTGCAACAAGTATGCTCAAAGGTTTATCATTCATCGTTCCCCTGGGCCATGGTAAATTTGAGGGTAAATTGTTCCTTGCATCACCTCACTTGGAATTCAGTGCACTAAATAAAGACAGACATGGAATTTCTACATGATGCAACCAGGCTTTTGGACCAAGGCTCTGCTCATGCCAGCTGCAGAACTGGTGTGCTCAAAGCTGCCTGCTGGCATGAGCCTGGCAGGGCTGCCCTGCCTTGGCCCTGCAGCCCAGCCTCCAGCCCAGCACTTGGGAGAGATCCTTACTTGGGTGTCACTGACAAACATCCTTTCCAAGGGGCCAAAAATCTTGACTGAAACATTTTTTAAGCAACACTCTGTTGTGGCTACCAAGTGGCTGCACAGTTGTTGGGCATTTGGTCTGCACGTACAATGCTAAAGCAATCAACATGAGGATATGAGCAACTCACAGTTCTCTCATCCTAAAAAAATCCCAAACTAGCACAATGTCATCCTTGAAAAATGCCAGTCAGCACATGGGAAGGATGTCTTTCACACATATTTCATATGTGTGTTGTGGAGGGCACTTGCTCTCCATCCCAACCTGCTCAGCTCTTCCATCTGGCATGGGGAGGCACAGGCACACTGCACATAGCATGAGGCTGTCCAGATGATCTGCAAGTGCACAGTTATTCTCTGATTTATCACTGCTCAAGTCCCAAAAGCCTAGAGCCATGTAAAAATAACCACATGGGGAATAAACAAGACCCCAGCGGGGTCTTTTTGCCCAGGCAGCCAGGAGCCACCAGCCTGGGAACAGCTATGCTGGCTGGTCACATACTGCCTGATTATGCAGTGTGTGTTTCACAAGGGCTTGTGCCTGTGTTTTTAATTGCATGAGGATGAATGACTCAAGAAGTCATTTAATGCTAGTTGGGCTGCACCCCTAGGAGCTGCCATCATTGCAATGCAGTCAAACCCTGTCTCCTCAGCCAGGTGGGTTCCCGAGAGCATAAGCATAAGGCAGATGCTGTACCTCAGCTGGTGTCTAAATTCCACTGTTAAAATGGACTGGTAGTGTGTTCCCCCACTGGGGTTCTCAGGGATGCACAGAAATTGCAGAACTGTGCCCTAAATGGACAAAGCATCATGAGAGTTGTATATGTGTGCAGGGGAAAAGAGTTCATCTTGCCAAAGGTGGGACCACAGAATGCACTCCACCTGCAGTCCAGCCTTTTTTACATCAACAAACAGTCAGACTTAGGCAGGAAGATCCAGAACATGATGTTGTTTCAATTATGCAATGACAACCCCAAAGCACAACCAGTTATGTTTGTGTTTCCTTTACATGTGTGAGATAACATTAGCATCCCAGCTAATATATGCACCATTTCACCTGCATCCCGTATCACACAAGAGGTCTCAGACATGGATGCAAGTAGCAGCTGGAATAGACAACCCAGGGACCAGGAGATGCAGGAGGGCTCCCATTGCCTGCTGGGGGTCAACACTGCACCACAGGCAGCACCTTGCCAGAGCACCTCTCACCCTGGGGTGCTACCTGGGATGTGGCACTTGCAGCAGGCTGTGTTGGGCCACCATAGCCATTGCTGGCCTGGACACCATAACAATTACCTGGCTGGTTATATGGTCTTTTATTTTTAGCCACAATATTTTTGGCTTAAAAAACATTTTCAGGGAATCAGCACATCAGGACCTGTGGAGAACAGCCCTAAAATCCCTGAATCTTTTTTTTTGTTCCCTCCTTGCTAGTTGGGAAAGGTTGGGAAGGGCAAACACTGCATGTGCAGGGGCCAGGCTCTTTGGGATCAGGAATAATGCCTCTTTCTTTTCTCTCCTCTCCTTCCCTGCCTGCTCCTTGCTGTCCTGCCCAGAGATCCCTGCTGCCCCCCCCACCACCACTGCCAGCAGCACAGAGGAGCCTGCAGGTATGTTGTCTCTTCTTTTAAAGCAGCTTGATGGCAAATGCCTTTTGAGCAATTGTCTGCCTCATATGAAATTACATAAATCTAATGCCTAAATTTGTTTGTACTGGGACAAGTGGTTTCCTTTCATGCCCAAAATGTCCAAGTGTGCAGCATCCTGAGAGATGAATGTTTCTATGAGCACATGGGAGTGCAGGGAAGATGCAGAAAGATCTTCCCAGAGGTGGCTAAATCTATAGGCACACAGGGGTTACCCAAAGTGGGACCAATGCTTGATGGAAAAGAGGTAAGGATTCAAGACCTGGTTAAGTATTAAGTGGTTAGCTGCTCAAGTAGAAGAGCCCTAAGAGGTTAAGGGAACAGGACAGATGAGTTCTTCTGGTGGGGCAGTACTAGAGAACCACAAATGCCCCAAAAGAGGACAAAACCCCCCCAAAAAACCCTAGCTGCTGATGAGACCTGTGTACATGAACCACAGCGTGTCTGGCATTTGGCTTTGTGGGTCCTTGGGGTGGGATGTGGCAGTGTTTAGTGGTGCTGTTGGGGACACTTGTGCTCAGATGTGTCTCAAGGCCAGTGGCTGTAAGAGCTGGGGGACAGAGCTCAGAGCAGGGGGTCCTGCAGCAAAAACTCCTGCAGTAGTGGCTGCAGCTTGTTCATGTGCACCCCACCACCATCCCCTCCTGAATTACACCCCCAGAGGGATCAACAAGTGCCCCCACCATGTCACTGAGGGACTTTCCTGTCCCCAGCTCCCTCGGGGTCAGACAGGTCTGAGCAGGGGCTGAGAGCAGGGGCTGGAGGGCCCCAGGAAATAGTGACTGATTCCATCCCACTGGCTGCAGATCCCCAGGTGTTTGAACAGCGCCACAGCTGGGAAGGACACGGGCTGTAAGAGCTGTTTACTTTTGTCTCAGCAGTGTAGGAGGGTTCATAAATAAAGGATTTTGTACTAAAAGTGATGGGCGTCACCTTGGATTGAACTCAGAGCCAAGACTCTCCCCGTGGCAGGGCAAGCACACGGGCTGTGGCTGTTGCTGAGTGCTCAGGAGCTCTTCCCAGGGTGGAAACGCAGGGAGCAAAGGGACAAGGTCTCCAGTGTCACACAGGAAGGTGAAGCCCAGGGTTTTCTGTACAGCTGAGTTAAAAGGACAAGTTCTGCTACCTGCAAACACAACAGCAGCAACTCTGTGTTTCAGTGTTGTGTCTCGGGCTGGTATGTCTTACAGCCTCAGGTGTGTGCCTGTTGATTTGTGTATGCTTCTTAGGCACCAAACACAAACACTTTGGTGGACAGCAGGTCCATGTCCAGCCAGTGGGGAGAGCCAAGGAGCACCTGGACATCTACCTAGGGAGTGCCTGTAGGGATGGCTGTGGGGATTAAAGGTGCGTTGGTCAGGACATGCCCCTCACCTTCAACCAAAGCTTTGGGTAGGTGTCTGAAACACTTTCCAGCCTGGCCACCAAGGGACCATCTCTCTCTGGTGCTGCTGGCAGGGATCCAGCCTCCGTCCCTCAGCCCCCACAGATGAGGGCAGCAAATGGCCCCACTGGGGAAGGAGCAAGTCCCATAACTCCACATCCTTGTCTTGGAGAAAAGGGTTAGTTAGAAATCTGCCCAAGCCTGACTGGATTTGTATGAAGCCTGTAACTGAGAACATCTCAGCAGGGTTGGAGACCTCCCTTTAGCAAAAGAACCCACACTGGGGGCTGGAAGAGGGTTATCCAGAGGCCGGGACAGAGCTGGGCATCCTGACAGCCTGTGAGCCAAGAGAAAACACTCAGCAGCATCTCTTGGATCCCCACATGGCAGGAGGGCTGGATCTCCCTGCTCCCTCCTGGACTGACGACCAATGTATCTCACCAGAAGGGACTTGTGCCACCCCCCTGTGAAAGCCCAGCAGAGGCTGAGCCAAGCTGAGCAATCTAATGGGCCCTCCATCTATTCATCATTCTTCTCACAGTGATTTTTACTGGACTTTCAAAGCACCATTTTGCCCTGGGAGCTTGAACCCTCCATATTGCATTCCTTCCTCTCCACGGGGAGTGTCAGGTGGTCCAGGGTCTTGGCATCACTCATCTCCCAGCACAACCCTGAAGCATCCTGTTGAAATCCATGGTGTTTTCTTGACAAACCCTTAAATCAGTGTGTCTTCCAAAACGTCCAAAATATGAGATCAAAAGAGTTATAGTGATGAAAAAAGAAATTAGTGGAAGACTTTGGGGACCAAATTAATGTCACCGCTGAGTCAACAAGGTATAAATTCCAAAAGAGCCTGAGCCAAAGCAAGGAGTGTAATGAGTGGAACAATGTCAGCTTTGGCACAGGGGTCCTGCCTGGCTCCCCTTAGTTCTCAGAGCTCTGATTCAGTTTGGGGAAATGGTCCAAAACTGAATTGTTTAGATGAAATGCATTCATGCTCTCCCATGCTGGGAAACTGGAGGATGATGAGGAGATGCTTCTCATTTTCATGGCCAGAAGAAAGCTCTTGCTACCACCCAGTTCCTTTCTGGTCCTGTTCAGAAATACAGAAGGAGCCACAGCAAAAGAGAAAAAAAAAACAAAACAGTGGGGGGAAAAGGTTTACAAACCTGCCAGTCGGTCGTTGACTTATCTGAATTGAATCCAGATTGGCTTGGAAATTATCTTAAGTGGATGCTTTCAGCTGGTGGGCTTAAATAAAAACAGGTGATTGGATGGATGCAACTTCGCATGGTCTTCCCCTGGAAATCAGCCTTTTAGGTTTCAAAATCAGATCTGGACTTTCCAGAAGTCATTTGGGCTCAAGATGCTGCCTGAGCCCTTTTCTTCCTGATTGGTGAGGAAAAGGCTGGAGATAGGTGCAGAAAAGGCAGGGGGAGGGTGGGAGTGGGGGTGGAGAATAAAAAACCAGAACATTTGTTACAATCCCTCTGTCTGTCTGGGATGTGCAGGGGCCTGAAGCAGCTTGGCTGCGGGTTGCAGCTTTCCCAGAGCATGCAGAGGTGGATGCAGGCTGTGGGATGCGAGGATGATTAATGCCTTCCAGGAGCAGCTCAGAGAAAGGAGATGGGCAGTCAGGTCTCTGCTCTGGAACAACCTGGAATACTCTCAAGGAGAAAAAAACAACAAAAAAAACCCCCAAACAAACAACACCCCAAACAACAGAACAAAACACTACCCCAGTGCCATGGGCTGAGTCTTTCAAGTCTGTTCCTGCTTCTGCATCTCCCTTGGGAAAAACACATGGAAGGTCACTGCTTCAGTCTGGGAAACTTTGTGGGAAATAGAAACCACACAGATGAGAGCACTGGTTCCTGGGGCAGAGCACCCCATGGCTCCCTCACAGCTTCTGGGGCCATCGTGGTGCAGAGCTCCTGCCACACAGCACCAGGACAAGCCACCCCCCTGCCACCCACCCCTTCCTTACATCACATCTGTACCTGCACACACATGTCCCACATAACCCCTCCTGCACCCTCCATGTGCTCCCGGCCCCTTGGCCACCCCCAGCTGTGTCCCAGCCTCAGGAACACCCTTGGTTTCTTCCCACCCTGTCCTGTGGCAGAGCTGGAGGCTTCGGCCACCTCCTTCCAGCATCTGTCCCAAGATTGGGCTTTGGGGTGAAATTCCCAAATTTTAGCCAGAACCCTCCACCAAAACCAGGAATGAGAAAAATTGCCCTCTCTGATGACCTGGGCTCCTGTCTCAGCATTGTTTGCTGGTAGTCAGAGTTGTCCTGCCCTAAAAAAGAGTTGGTTTTATTTTTTCTGAAAGTTAAAGACTTTTGTTTTTGCCTGCCCAGGCCCAGATGAGCTGGGGCAGAGCAAGGCCACCCTCGAGGGTCTCTGCTCCCCAGAGAAGAAGGGCAAAGTGCAGATTTGAGAGGGTAGCCATAGGCTCATAGATAGATGGCCATGATGAAAAGGCAGTCCTTCAGGCCTGCTGCCACCAACACTTGCATCATCCCAGCAAAACCTCACCAGGCACCATTCAAAGGCGAGTTAAATCACTTCCTCTCAGGAGCTGTGCTTGAATTTCATGGCTTTGGCAGCTGGGAGCCATCTCCTCATTCCAGCCTCCTGGCCTGCCTGGACCCATCCCTGTGGGAACATGGTCTTTGTGGCTCCACATCTTCACTCCCAAGCAGAGGCTGTAGACCACTGATCCTCAACTCATGGTCACATAAACACTGTGATCATCTCTGCAGCAACAGCTTCAAGGCAAAAGTGACATTAGGAAAGGATGACTGGTACTGTAGCTCCTTTTCATGAGCTGCAGCAGCTGGAAACAAGGAGTCAACACCATGGGAGCCACCAGCTGTGAGGGGTAAAAAGCTTGCTCAGAGAATGACTGTGTGGGGACAGGTTGGTGGCATTATGCACACCCTGTGCTTGGAACAGGACACAGGGACAAACTGCTGCTCCCCAACCCCCTCCTGAACATTTATTTAAACCACTGCACCAGCCCTGGGGGAGCTGAGTGGCAAACCTCCCCCTGTTGTTGCACCCACAAATGCAATGGATGCTGCCAGCTTGGCCAGTGAGGACCTGGCTCATCACTCTGTGCTGAGGCCTGGGCATGTGAGCACAGCTCTTGGGTGGGCTCTCAGAAGGCTGGAGGAAGCCAGTTCCACTCCACACTGAAGGTCACTTCTTCCCTGCTTCTCAGAGCACTGAGCAAGCTAGGAGGGAAGGGAGCAGCTCTGCACTGAGGTAGCACCCAGGTTGTGTGTTTGGATGGTGGCACCTGCCCATCTTGCTGATATAGACTCAGAAGCTGTGTCAATAGGTCAAGGAGATATCCCTTGAACCTCCATCTCCTCCTGCCTCCTGTGGCCTTGGCCCTCCTGGGGGGATGGCTGGGTTGGAGTCTCCCCACGTGCCGTGGTTTTCTCTCAGAGGAGGCCCCACACCAAAGCTGCCAACAAGTGTTGAACATTGCAGCCCTCCCAAATCTCAGGCAGGCAGCCCTCAGTCCAGTCACCCCAGCAGGGCCAGGTCTCCACTGAGCTGGGCTGGCT